CTTCCAGAAACAGTGTCTTGGATGGATGGGGTCCTTGCAACTGGAATTGAATTGAATGGTGATTGACAAAAGTTTTTGTGGATTAGATTCATAGTTCTTAACATAATGGAAAGCTAATTGGTGTATTTTTGTGAATTACATTTCAAATTCCAGGTCATATAAACACCCTAAGGTCCTCTGTGAATTTACTGCCCATCAGGGGGATATTTAATAAGAATGTTTTGTTATTTTGAAATCTAAGACAAATTGTCCATTACCACTAGGTTTCTAAAACTTAAAAAGAAAGTTCTCTTGGCTGACAGCGTTGCTTTAATTCATAAGCTGCAGGACAGCATAGAAGCTGCTTATTGATTGTGATCACTGCTTGAATTGGCAGAGGAAGAAGTGTTATGATGATGAGAACTTGTCTTATTGTTGTGATTAGCTGTTACTAAAGTCTAATTACTGTGCATGATGCTAAAATGTCTAAACTGCCGACACTTAGAGATAAGGAGATGAAAAGAAATCAATTCATTCTAAATAGCTATTCTGGGTTTTTTTCATTATTCTTGTTATTTTTGTGCACTCTCCTGAGTGGCGCTTTAGAATGCGTGGATTAAGTCACGGCTGCAAAAGCTGCCATCAAACTTTGGTTGTGGTTAAATAAGTTTTAAGCACCAAGGGACTGAATAAAATAAGGGTTAGTGAAAGGTGATGACAAGGAGTACAATTAACAGTACGTGCATCTGCTGAGTGAATGCATTGTTATTAGCTATGAATTCTGTTGCTGTAGGCAGGATCCTAATGTGATTGAGAGGAGGGTAAAGCTTGGAAGACGTGTTCCCAGAGGAATCAGACATGGGAAAGTGCTGTTTCTGCCATTCTGGCTGCTTCAGAACTGGCGTTTCCACAGAAAAGGAGAGTTTTTCCCGCTGTCTACATTAAGAAATCTCCTTCGTCTGGGAGACAGGCTACTCTTTTCCAGCTTTGAGGCATCACATTAGGGACACAGTCCTCAGAAGTTTTGCAGAACCTCACCTGAGAGGTTGGAGGAGCTCAGCACCCCGGGGAGTCCTGCTGTAGCTACTGTGCTGACTTTAGAAAATGTTTTGGGATCCTCTGGGATGACAGATGCTTGTGTATGCACATGTAATATGCTGTTAATAATTAGAGCTGATTGGATATTCAGTGCAAATTACACTGGCTATGAAGTTAGCCCCTTCTTTAGGCTTACAAGTGGCTCACAAAACACTGTTAAAGCATATTTTTAAATGTATGTTTTTTCATAAACATTGACAGATTCAATTGGAACAAATAATATCGAGTCTGAGTGTTTTAAACTCTTGTTGGTCTGTTCACTGTCAGTTGTTAATGGTGCACGTTTGGATTTCTGAGTCACAGGGTAAATATTTTCTCTTTCTAATTTTTAGGATTAAACATGAGTTTCAATGACTAAACTTGAGTTTCAATGATAATTTTAAGTGCCAGCCCCTCCTAAGGGTATGTCTGCCCCCACGTCCAGGTCCACATGCTACATCTTCGATAAGATTTGCTTAGAGAAGAGAAATAGGTCTAACAAACCTATTTGTTTGTCCAGCAAACATGAGGAAAAGAGAGCATTCCGATTTTTTCTCTTTCTCTGTGTCACCTGGAAGCTGAGTTAGAGCTTTCATTTGCAGTTTTTCATCATAAGTTGGGTTGTCTCCCAAACCTGTTCATCCTTGTGTGAATCTGAAGGAAGAGATGTGATTTTTCTGAATATTGACTCAGGCTGAATCTGCCTCCTGTGGAGGAAAATGCAAAGTTCAGCCCCGATGGTTGCATTTCCCATATTCTGCAAAACAAAACCCACACATGCAGAGCCATGCTCAGTTTCACATTTGTATTTGCTCTTTGTATGTGTTCACTTATAGGGATCCTCTAAGACAGTACACTGTGTTGGTAGAAAATAATTATTCACTAATAGTAATACCAACAGCCATGGCTGGTTTGAAAAGTAACTAATGATTTCACTGTAAGCAAATCTGAAATACTTCAGAGAAGCCTGTTTTTCTGCTGAGGAGCAGCTCTCCGTGAACTGTTAGGAGCTCCAGCTTTGAGTGTTTCTAGAGAAACTGAAAAGAAGCAAACCTTAAAGATATAATCTTATATTTCTCTGTAATTGGAAGATGGATGGTAACACCTATGCTATCTTCTTGTCCAGGAGAAATAAAAATCTCCACTAGCAACACCTATATATCCCCTTCATTCGTTTTGTTGCATCCATGGCAAAAGATTTAACCATTTACCACAGACCTGAAATAAATTTTGCACAAAATAGTAGTGTGCAGTGCCATAAATAAAAGCTGTTCTCATGTATATGGCACACACGTGGATCTCTCTGCTTAGCAGTTAACACACTGAGAAAACACATTTTGTCTGGAAAAACAGACAAAAAAACCCCCAAACTCCCAATGTAGCAGCATTCATCAGGAGAAATGCTGACGAGGATAGGATGGCAGCAGGGTAGATTATCCTTTTTCTGCCCGCCTACCTTTGCAGTCTCTCCCCTATTCCTCCTCTTTTTGTATAAAATAGTCCTGCAGTATATAGAGCATAAGAATAATTTCTTTAGCAGAGACTGCAACCTGCTTGAGGAGCCTCCATCCCCATTAGAGGCTCTTTGCAGAAGAAGTAATTTCCTTCTCCCTATAAATTATGCATCAATGTACATTTAAGATTCTGAAATGATGAACAGAAGATGAAAGTGTTGCGGAGTGTAGCTGCTTCTATGGAGCTGAATCCACAACGGTGTATACAGGCTCGAACACACCTTGTTAAGACAAACCTGCACGTGTTACTGTCCTAGTACTCTGGCTGTAAAAGCGTGGAGGTAGGAGCTCATCCGACTTCTCCAGCCTCAGCTCTCAAAGAAAGACTTTTTCTCCTCTTGGAAGGCAGTTAGGGAGAAAGATAGCAACCTGTGTCCAAAGTGGACTTCCCAGATGGACTCTGCCAGCCTGAGCTGGGGTGATTCATGCTCTCCCTTGCTCCTGATGTTTCCAGAGACCATCCAGAGTTGCAGGTTGAGATTTGTGACCGTTAGGATATGCACGATCCCTGTGGCCTTCCCCTAAAGCTGACAACCCACACAACTTTGGGATTGTAAGGGGCTTAGATGATCCTCATGGGAAAGGCAATTCAGCCAGCTAAACAGGAGTTGAGATAAACAACTGGTACTTCCAAACTGAAATAAGAATCATGGAATTGCCTAGGTTGGAAGGGACCTTTAAGATCATCGAGTCCAACCATCAACCTTACACTGACAAAAATCATCAATAACCGTGTCAGCGAGCATCACGTCTACCCGTCTTTTAAAATACTTCTAGGGTATTTAGAAGATATTATGTCATTTGGAACATCGAGTGTGTGATGACTGAGCAGTATGAAATGTGTTGGGTGAGTTGACACTACTGTGTACTGCAGTGGGGCAGGTCAGTGCAGGCTAACTTTAAACTCAGTGTCCTATCTCAGTGTACGAAGGATGTTGTTGGCTTCTGCAACAAAAAGACACATGCATATGTATAAAAATAACTGAAGAAAATTACCTTTTTTAGAGCAGATGAGGTTTTAAAGTGCCTTTGCACAATCTGCCTGTGGCGTGTGGTTCCGATGTAGTGTAACAGGGGTAATAAAGGGGCATGTACACTTTCTGGGGAATGGATATTAAATATATAATGTAATTATGTACTGAAAAATTGAAAAATAAGGCTTTGAGATTATACATAGCCCATGGAGATAGATGAAGAATGTAATCAAATGTGCATGTATATTTTAGAGAAGAATTTTATGCTGCTGCCACAGTTAAAGCCGTATGTGTGCACCCCCACGTGGGCTTATACAAAGCTATAGGGGAGAGGATCCTTTATATTTTGTCATGCCAGAGAATACAGGGGGAATTTTTAAGTTCACCCTTGGAATCTGAGGGTGGCAAATGAAAATTAATAATAACAACACTTGAAAAGGAAAATTTGGGGATTTTTATGTAAATGAGTTGTGCGTCACAGATCATTATATAAAAAGATATGCCTTGCAATAGGCCTGAATTCCAGTAATGCCCAGTGCTGCGGGAACCAATTCCAGACCTGAGGTTCCTGTGGAGCACTTCAGGGCAAGTCAAGTGCTACTGTGGTGTTTGAGGTGAAGCAAAACAGGAACAGTGAAATACCTCAAGTGGTTCTGGCATCAATGAACCTGCACTTGTTCTGCATTTCTTCCACGGTCACTTAAAAGTGACAGTGGAGCATCCCAAGCACTTTGCACTGTTTGCATCACATCTGGGGATGGCTGCCAAGAGCTGGGTGTTCGCATAACTGTGGGTGGATCTTTGTCCCTTCAAGTTTTGCTTTAAGGTCTGGTTGTTTGCTTCTACCCAAGTTGACCCAACTGCTGAGTTTCCTCTTTGAAGAAAGAAGTGCCACGTGGTACCTTTCCTTTTCTCTCCTCTGGCAAAGTTTTCATTTAGAGAGAGACTAGTTTTTGCTTTTTAAATGCAACATCCACCGTAAAAGAACCTGTGTATTAAAGCAGGCCATCGAGCCTTTCATCACTTCTCTGGGTGATAGCAGTCATGAATTTTTTATTTTCTGCAGGGCTCACTCCAGATCTGCCACAGCATTGTGTGGGTGCACACATGTAAAAAGGCTACTAATTGAAATTCAGATGTAACGAGATGAAGTTTTGCTATTCACCATGCCTGCCTTTTGTTTTAGCCCTTGTACGCTCAGTGCACCTAAACAATACAACCATTGCTTCTCCTTTTAGATTCAATGAGAGTAACTTAACAGGCCAGAAGTATTTCCATGTCTGCTCTATAGATATAATATGCACGCCCAGAAATGGGACTGGCGTGTGTTAGTTTATGTATTTACTTACTTGTGGGGAGACACAGATTTTAATGGGACTGAAAATAAAATAAAATAGAAATCTTGCTGCTATAAACTGTTCCCTTTTGAAGATGCAAATGTGTTTCTATTGCCTAGGTAACTACTATGGAACGCCCAAGCCTCCCAGCCAGCCCCTCAGTGGGAAAGTGACTTCCACCGATGCTTTGCAAAACCTGCAGTCTGGCTCCAAGCAGTCGACTCCAAAGCGAACCAAGTCTTACAATGATATGCAAAATGCTGGCATAGTGCATACAGAGAATGAGGAAGAGGATGATGTACCTGAAATGAGCAGTAGCTTCACAGGTAAAACAAAAATACTGCAATCCATGAGTTAGGATACATGGGGATGATTTGGGGAGGAAGGTTGTTTTTAATGGATTTACTGCACAGCTGTCAGTCCTGGATAGAACTGGACAACACCACCTCAGTGGCAGATGTCCAGGTGTGGACAATCATGTGCACAGTTGTGTCTTCTAAAAAGGCCTTGTGGGCTTGAGCTGGATGAGAAAAAATTGGGGAAAAGTTCAAATCCATTAGTTGCACTAAGTTCAAGGAAGAGTTGAGCTATGCTTGACAATTATAAACAGTACAAAATGGCTCAACCAGCAGTTAGGATACATGGGGATGATTTGGGGGAGGATAGTTGTTTTTAATGGAATTACTGCACAGCTGTCAGTCCTGGACAGAACTGGACAATACCACCTCAGTGGCAGATGTCCAGGTGTGGACAATCATGTGCACAGTTGTGTCTTCTAAAAAGGCCTTGTGGGCTTGAGCTGGATGAGAAAAAATTGGGGAAAAGTTCAAATCCATTAGTTGCACTAAGTTCAAGGAAGAGTTGAGCTATGCTTGACAATTATAAACAGTACGAAATGGCTCAACCAGGATTACATTTGAAATTAATTATTGCTCCTTCCTAAATATGTTGCTATCCCTTCCCTTTCCTTGCATCTAGAGATACCTGTCACACACAATTACTAGGCCCTCTTCTCCAATGTAACCTTACAGCAAATTTAGGCCTGCTTGCTGCTGGAATGAGGTCTGAAGCATGGGTGTAGGCTCTTTATTTTGTGAAGGCCTCTTGTTCTGCTGAACACAGGTCTCAGTCCCACCGTGGCTACCATCGAGCATTGGCTGAAAGACCACTGGAAACTTTTGCAATCTAAAGTCAAGTGCTGTGCTGGCAGATTCAGAGCATGGTACTATTGGAGATAGTTGAATTTCCACAGAAATCTACTGGAAGTTTGTGAAGATCTGAGGAGCAAGAGCTTTTCCCCGTGCCTGCAAACCTAGTATTTGTTAGTGCATAAGGCATTACTTCCTCAGCTCAGTTTCAAATGCTGAATTCACCTACCCTTTGAGGTAGGTGCTTAGAAAGCAGCATTGTCCATACATTCAAACCTTCCACAGCTGCTTGCTGTGGGTGCTCACCATCACTGGCACTAGGTCCTTTGTCCTCTGGTCACTTCCTAGCACCAATGACAGTTTTACTTCCCAGCCTCTGATGAGTCGTAGGAGCTGTCATGCCAGTTCCTACTTGCCAAAGTCCTGGCTCTAACATCTGCATAGAGATTTAAAAAGATTTAAGCTGAGATTTAGTTTTGGCCCTCTGTAGGCCAAACTGTCTTTGGCTTTGAGGGTTGCAGCTCTGGCTGCTACCTGTTACATATTTCCAACCTAGATCACTCCTGACTGGCCTAATACCTCCCAGGCTGGAGTTTCTGTCTCTGCTTACTGGCTCCTTTACAAAGTTTGGAACTGAGGACAGTTTCTCACATGATGTGACATGGCAGCAACCTCAGCCCTTGTCACAGGCTCTGATTTCAGGAGGAAGCTGGTGGGAGAAGCTGTTTGACCTCCTTCCTGCCTGTCTCACTTTGGTGCCCCTGAATTAACTCGAGCATCGTTTCTTTTTCTTGTTTTCCTTTACATGATGAAATACTGCAAAATGCAGCTCATTTGTCACAATGCTATCACACCCTGGCCCCTTGCCTCCATTAAATGGGCACAGAATCAAGAAAAGAGCTATTTCTCATATACCAAAGTGATTCCTTATGCTTTTTTTCACATGTAAGTGTGCTAGCCATATTAAAATGCTCCTGCTTCCTTAGAAGACCTCTCGATGACTTGTGTCTTCCAGACTTTGGCATGTTTACACTCGCAGTCTTAAGCTGGCAATGATTCATTCATGCTCCTTTTATCTTGTCATCTTCTACCTAAAAATATCGACCGCCAGGAAGGCTAGAAAGCAGCCTGCTTTCTATACCAGGGTACTGGTATAGTCTAGATCTTTTTGTTCCCTCTTCTTCCAGTTTATTATCTTCAGTATCTTGTCTTTTTCTAATGGCAGCACACAGACTAGAAATAGCACAGGAGCTGCAGTTAATGGGCCCCCCCAAAATCTGAGGCTGTGGGCTGTGACTTGAGGAGGTCCCCAGTCCCAGTCTGGAGAGCAGAGGTGAGGTCTTGGCTGTGAAGCCCTTTCAGTCCCGCTGCTCAGGGACTTGGCAGAGTGTGACACCAATATCTCTGCATTTTGCTCAGCGTGCTGCCAGCTGCATGTACTGGAGACTGGTGGTCCCAGGTGATTTGGAAGTACTGCCATTAATTTCTAACACCTCCAAGAACCAACAAGAGAAAAGCCCTTTTGTAGACACAGGGGTAGTTTTAGAATTTGTGTGTTGTTGCCAAAACCTCTCTGTGAAGGAGTTAGGGGCACAGGCCTGGTTTGTGGAGAGCATTTACTGTGATTAGGGGTGGAGGGAATGAGCAGCATTTCTTCATGGATACAGCTCACAACTGCATCAGAAAAGTTTCCTTGGAGGGAGAAGGGCCAGATACATAATAAAGTACCCCTGAGTGACTTTGACTGGCAGGATACAGTGATGAGCCGTGGAACAAACCTCCTCAGACAGCGGGAACAGGCACTAGTGTGGACACATGGCATAGCGCTGACATTCATTTTAAATTTTAATTTTAAAAAAATGCACTGCGCTAAAGACGTTCACCATTAGCTTGTTGACTTTGAGCTTCTGGCTACCTCCTGCACTTGTAAAAAATCTCCCCTTTTGATCATTCTTCAAACAGGAATTTTTGTTCTCCTAATCCCCGTCCCACAATTGGCGCTGCGGGAGTGAACCTGTAAGCCTGCTCAGAAGCCCGTTGAACTGATCTACATCAGTGAGCCCTGGCCTCAGACAGCCTGGAAGACTTTGGTACCTCAGCAGGGCCTATTAGAGCGAACACAGTAGTTGATCACAGCTTCTGATTTGTGCTGGCGAGGGGCTGGCTTGGCACAGGGTGTGTGGGCAAAGCCAGCTCGTCCATGCTGGGAAAAAGACCGCAGAGTCTCTGCCCTCGGTTCATCTGTTGCTGCTTCTTGCGAATTAAAAAGCGAGGCAAGGAAAAGCATAAGGATAAATGTGGAGAAGCAAATGGGAGGAGAAAAAAAGACCGATTTTCACTTTTATTTGTGCTTGTTTATTCCGCAGCAGAGTCTGGTGACCAAGACGAGCATAACGCGCATATCGTAAGAGAGACAGCCCCACCGTCCGCCATTGATAGCCACACCAACGTTCCCACCACGGAACCATCTCAGAACCTCCCTCAATACCTACCTCCTTCTGCCGAGGATAACCTAGGTCCTCTGCCGGAAAACTGGGAGATGGCCTACACGGAGAACGGAGAAGTCTATTTTATAGAGTAAAGCGCATTTTTGTTGTTCTAATTCCATCTCTTTCCCTCTCTCTCTGGGCATTCGTAAACCTCCACGGATGCATTTTGTATGTGTGTGTACGTGTGTGTATTAAATATTTAGTGTATACAGTTAAGTTGCAGAGCTCTAAGTTCTTTACTGCTTCTGAAGGGGTTTTGCATTTCCTGATTGGATTAACATCCAAATTACTCCTGAGTTCAAAGGCAGAGGGAATTGCTTGTTTTATGAGGGCGGTTACAAAAGCAACCGACACTTATAAAATATGGGCCAGTTGTTTTCGCGGGTGGAATGAAAGCTCTTAATTGAAAGGGCTGAGACTTCATTTCTGGAGCCTGCCTCTGTGCATAACGCAGCAGAGAGAGTTCCTCTGGTCGTGTGCTGAGGTGGCAACAGAGCCAGGGAATGGACTTTGGGTGTTGTCCTCTCGTCAGAGCAAATGGTCCAAAAGTGTTAACGTGCTCCGGTGGTTTGCAGAAGCCATAGCTCAGTGCAGAGTAGGCACACTAAGTTTGGAAAAGAAGTACCTCGTGCTCTGCAGTCTCTGCCTAAGAGCTGAGTGCTGTCAGCAGTTTTATGATGATATTGATTTTTTCATGCCATAAATAATAGTCTCTAATTATACTTGTCTAGATTTATTGAGATAGGAGTAACTTATAAAATGGGACCTGTTAGTGGAAGAGATTTCCTGCACAGAGGTTAGCTAGACATTAAAATTCAATTAGCTTTTGAAACTCAAGCCCTTGGCTGCCTAAGTGGAGAAGGGGGGTGAGGAATTGATTTTGGATTTGATGGTCTGTTTAATGCGGTCTTGGAAACTGAGGTCCCCTGTCTGTGCACCACAAGCCAGCGGCCAATTAGTACAGAAGAACCTCCTCTGCTAATGCCCCCTCTGGTGCTCTGAAGAATTAGGCTGGATTAGGGTAGGAAGGGGAGCAGTCCTGCTCCTCCATCATCAGGAGAGGAGACATTTGGACAGGGCTAAGGAAAGATTCATCAGAGGAGGTTTTCCCTTGGCTGCAATAGAAGGGGGGAGTGCATCAGAGAAGAGTGCCAGAAGATCTGAGGAGCTGGGAGGACCGGGTGCACCACAGCAGCTCTTCACCAGCTGGGAGAGGGTTCCTGTAAAAATGGCCATTTTCCAGGGTGCTCTCAATTACATGAAGAGGCTCCACCGCCTCCGTGGTGCAAGCCACAGTCTAGAAGGCTCAATGCAAATTCTAATCAGCTGCAGATCAGATGAAACTGAAATGCGTTCATTATCCCGAACACAATGTTCTGCCCCTTGTGATGTCCACAGGGTGCCTCATTCTTTGACATACTTTCTGACTTTAACATATATAAGGCAGCCTGAGTAATAGCCCATCCAGCCTGCCATTTTCCTTCCTGGAGGAGGACAGATGATGAGCACTAAATGCTGTCCAAGCAGCCAGTCCTTACAGGTGCTTCGGCAAAAGGTTCTGCTGTTGCCACCAGCTTCCCCAAAACCCATCCCTGCTATATTCCCTGTGTGTGTGTGTTCTCTTAGCAATGCAGGACCGTAGCACCCTAAGTAATTTGTTAGACCTTTTGCAGGAGAATCATGGATGTGGTAGGAAAACGTAGGCTGCGTGCACTGCTGTCTGTCTGACGGGGGAATCTGGTAGCACACCAACTGCTTCCTTCCCTGCAGCCCAGATTGACCACTTGGAGGATGCAGACGCATGGGGAGGGGGGTGGATTTTGTGCAAAGAACGTGTTAGTCTGGATGCAGCACAGAATGACTGCAGTTCTATTAATTCTGAGGACACCCTGAGCCTAGAAACAATTTAGTCTGATTTGTATCAAATTAAGAGAGCAAGCTAATGAGCTGTGTGGACCCAAGCTGGCTCCGATGTCTGTACCGTCATCTACAGCACTTTGGGTTGTCGAGTCAGGGTGCTGAAGGGAACAGTATGGGAACATCTGAGCTCCTTGCAGAGAACCAGCACAGGTCCAGTGGGGCCAGAGCTGCGTGTGGGGTAACCAATCCTGATGGCTTGTAGCTGAAGCGATCTGGCTCTTGAGATATGTTCCTCTGGTGCTTTAATTGGGATTTTCATTACCCACAGTATCCCACTCCCTCGTTATCCTGCATGTAGACCTATGGGTGTTACAGGGTCTAACACAATTCTGTCCCTCCGAGTGTATGATCTGAAAGGTGTTTAGCTAAATTTTCTGTGCCTCAGCAAACACTCTGCAGGACAGCATAGAAGCTGCTTATTGATTGTGATCACTGCTTGAATTGGCAGAGGAAGAAGTGTTATGATGATGAGAACTTGTCTTATTGTTGTGATTAGCTGTTACTAAAGTCTAATTACTGTGCATGATGCTAAAATGTCTAAACTGCCGACACTTAGAGATAAGGAGATGAAAAGAAATCAATTCATTCTAAATAGCTATTCTGGGTTTTTTTCATTATTCTTGTTATTTTTGTGCACTCTCCTGAGTGGCGCTTTAGAATGCGTGGATTAAGTCACGGCTGCAAAAGCTGCCATCAAACTTTGGTTGTGGTTAAATAAGTTTTAAGCACCAAGGGACTGAATAAAATAAGGGTTAGTGAAAGGTGATGACAAGGAGTACAATTAACAGTACGTGCATCTGCTGAGTGAATGCATTGTTATTAGCTATGAATTCTGTTGCTGTAGGCAGGATCCTAATGTGATTGAGAGGAGGGTAAAGCTTGGAAGACGTGTTCCCAGAGGAATCAGACATGGGAAAGTGCTGTTTCTGCCATTCTGGCTGCTTCAGAACTGGCGTTTCCACAGAAAAGGAGAGTTTTTCCCGCTGTCTACATTAAGAAATCTCCTTCGTCTGGGAGACAGGCTGCTCTTTTCCAGCTTTGAGGCATCACATTAGGGACACAGTCCTCAGAAGTTTTGCAGAACCTCACCTGAGAGGTTGGAGGAGCTCAGCACCCCGGGGAGTCCTGCTGTAGCTACTGTGCTGACTTTAGAAAATGTTTTGGGATCCTCTGGGATGACAGATGCTTGTGTATGCACATGTAATATGCTGTTAATAATTAGAGCTGATTGGATATTCAGTGCAAATTACACTGGCTATGAAGTTAGCCCCTTCTTTAGGCTTACAAGTGGCTCACAAAACACTGTTAAAGCATATTTTTAAATGTATGTTTTTTCATAAACATTGACAGATTCAATTGGAACAAATAATATCGAGTCTGAGTGTTTTAAACTCTTGTTGGTCTGTTCACTGTCAGTTGTTAATGGTGCACGTTTGGATTTCTGAGTCACAGGGTAAATATTTTCTCTTTCTAATTTTTAGGATTAAACATGAGTTTCAATGACTAAACTTGAGTTTCAATGATAATTTTAAGTGCCAGCCCCTCCTAAGGGTATGTCTGCCCCCACGTCCAGGTCCACATGCTACATCTTCGATAAGATTTGCTTAGAGAAGAGAAATAGGTCTAACAAACCTATTTGTTTGTCCAGCAAACATGAGGAAAAGAGAGCATTCCGATTTTTTCTCTTTCTCTGTGTCACCTGGAAGCTGAGTTAGAGCTTTCATTTGCAGTTTTTCATCATAAGTTGGGTTGTCTCCCAAACCTGTTCATCCTTGTGTGAATCTGAAGGAAGAGATGTGATTTTTCTGAATATTGACTCAGGCTGAATCTGCCTCCTGTGGAGGAAAATGCAAAGTTCAGCCCCGATGGTTGCATTTCCCATATTCTGCAAAACAAAACCCACACATGCAGAGCCATGCTCAGTTTCACATTTGTATTTGCTCTTTGTATGTGTTCACTTATAGGGATCCTCTAAGACAGTACACTGTGTTGGTAGAAAATAATTATTCACTAATAGTAATACCAACAGCCATGGCTGGTTTGAAGAGTAACTAATGATTTCACTGTAAGCAAATCTGAAATACTTCAGAGAAGCCTGTTTTTCTGCTGAGGAGCAGCTCTCCGTGAACTGTTAGGAGCTCCAGCTTTGAGTGTTTCTAGAGAAACTGAAAAGAAGCAAACCTTAAAGATATAATCTTATATTTCTCTGTAATTGGAAGATGGATGGTAACACCTATGCTATCTTCTTGTCCAGGAGAAATAAAAATCTCCACTAGCAACACCTATATATCCCCTTCATTCGTTTTGTTGCATCCATGGCAAAAGATTTAACCATTTACCACAGACCTGAAATAAATTTTGCACAAAATAGTAGTGTGCAGTGCCATAAATAAAAGCTGTTCTCATGTATATGGCACACACGTGGATCTCTCTGCTTAGCAGTTAACACACTGAGAAAACACATTTTGTCTGGAAAAACAGACAAAAAAACCCCCAAACTCCCAATGTAGCAGCATTCATCAGGAGAAATGCTGACGAGGATAGGATGGCAGCAGGGTAGATTATCCTTTTTCTGCCCGCCTACCTTTGCAGTCTCTCCCCTATTCCTCCTCTTTTTGTATAAAATAGTCCTGCAGTATATAGAGCATAAGAATAATTTCTTTAGCAGAGACTGCAACCTGCTTGAGGAGCCTCCATCCCCATTAGAGGCTCTTTGCAGAAGAAGTAATTTCCTTCTCCCTATAAATTATGCATCAATGTACATTTAAGATTCTGAAATGATGAACAGAAGATGAAAGTGTTGCGGAGTGTAGCTGCTTCTATGGAGCTGAATCCACGACGGTGTATACAGGCTCGAACACACCTTGTTAAGACAAACCTGCACGTGTTACTGTCCTAGTACTCTGGCTGTAAAAGCGTGGAGGTAGGAGCTCATCCGACTTCTCCAGCCTCAGCTCTCAAAGAAAGACTTTTGCTCCTCTTGGAAGGCAGTTAGGGAGAAAGATAGCAACCTGTGTCCAAAGCAGACTTCCCAGGTGGACTCTGCCAGCCTGAGCTGGGGTGATTCATGCTCTCCCTTGCTCCTGATGTTTCCAGAGACCATCCAGAGTTGCAGGTTGAGATTTGTGACCGTTAGGATATGCACGATCCCTGTGGCCTTCCCCTAAAGCTGACAACCCACACAACTTTGGGATTGTAAGGGGCTTAGATGATC